CCCGTCTACTTGGGGAACAGCTTGTGTTCCTGCAGCTGACTCGATGAGAGCTTCAATTAACAAATGCTATTAAAGTAGCTCTCCTCTTTATTTTATTTTTTTTTAATGCATAGCATTTCCTGACAGCTTAAACCTTTAATTAACTGGAGATGCCATCGTGGAAAGTTTGCTAGAGAAGAATGCTTGTGGTTTAATTAAAAAGAAAAAAAATCCTTTATAGGTACTGGAAGAGATCTGCTTAAGTCTTTAATAGTGGCAAAAAGCCTGCAAGAACTCTTCCATTTCTCTTTCTGACTGCAGCAGTAGGTGAGGAGGTGCAAAGCAATATCATCATCCAAGAGGAGAACGTGAGTGCTTCACAGCTTCATGTTTGACCCTCCAGTTTAAGCTGCAGATGTAGGACAAGCTACAGTTCTGTTACCTCAGTAAGGGAAAGGAGAGAGCCAACTATAAAGTTTTTGCTTTTTTAAAAAGAACTCTAACTTACAATTCTCTTGGTATTAGGCCAGAGCTGTCTCTAACATTTCTAGTCTTCTCTAAGGGCACACAGGGAGAACATTGTTCGCATAAGCACTGGTCTGTTTTTTTTTTGGCTCCCATTACAGCACAAAAGCAAAGGCAAAGCTTACCTGGAACAAAAATGTAGAATACAGTTCATGGTATCTTCAACAACCTTCATGGAAGCCTCTTTTTGAGATGGCAGGGTACTGCCTGAGGTGGCAGAGAGCCCTCGCTGCTCTTCACAACCCCGAGGGCTGTGTGTGATGGTAGCTGTGGCAGAGAACCAGTTCAGTACACACTTGCACCCTTGCAGCAACTTGCCACAGGGCCAAGGCATGGCGGTGTCAAGTGGTGCAGAGGTGGCAGACCCCCATGGCAAAGCAGCAAACTGTCCTTCCTCCTTGGCAAAGGACTTGCTGGCTTCTCCCCTTCTTCTCCCCACATTGACTGGATTAGGAACAGATCAAGTGACCCAGAGGCTTTTTAAACAGCTACAGATCCGAAAAGGAAATTTTGTTCCTGTATTAAATATACACCTGGAAAAGTCACTGACATGACTGCTCACATTTGAAGTACAGCTCCACCCCTAGAAGAGTATCAAATGGTTTCTGAGTCATCTCTGGGAGCAGGTTGGGGCTGTTGGGGTGGTGCCTGGGCCAGCAACATGTGCTGGCCTGCTCTCTTGGAGGCTCCGTACCCACACTGGCACTTCAGCTGCTGGGTGACAAGGGACAGCTGGGCTCCTTCTGAAACATGCCAAAGCTCAGAACTTGCCAAAATAGCTATTTGGGAGCAGCTTGATGTGCTCTCCCTCTTCTGGCCTTGTCTGCAGCATGGTTAAATTCAGTGAGGGTAGCACACCCTCTTCCAGGGGTGGGAGAGAAACTTCTGAATGAGCATCTTTCCCTAAGTCTGGAGCACAAACCACATTGACCACTTAATGAAATCCATCACCCTGTATAACCACATATTACCACCCTGACTCTTTCAAAAGCCGATCTCTCCTTTTTGCAAACAAACATATTCTTTCTGATATATCTGCTACTGCAAGCAGCACCTCTTCTTGGGGAACGTGCACTGCCATGAACAGCAGTGAGAGCTGGGCTGCCCCAAATCACTGACTACACCAGATCCTCCCCTGGCAGTGGAGCTCTGTGTCTTATAAGCTCCTTTTCAGCCAGAACTCACCAAGTGTGCTCCACCTTCAGTTGAGACTCCTCAGCATCCCAACTCCTGGTAGGTTTTGATCCTTTTCTCTGACCACTTCCTGAATGTATATGCTTAAGCCTGTTTCGACTTTCCCAGAACAAACCACAGAAGTAGTTGTGATCCTCTTGAAAAAGAAGCATGTTTTTTCTCTATGGATGGCGTATCAGATACGAACCAAACTCAAACCCAGGAGTATTCCTAGTAAAAACTGCACTGAAGCACTGACAGGCTGGTTTGTAGACTTAGTGAGATTAGATTCCCTTGAAATGTGCTTTACAGGTGCCCTTGAAATAGCAAGGAGAGCTACTTTCCCCTACCACCCTTTCCTCAGAGGACCCCAAAGGGCCATCACCTGAAGCTGTGATTGTGAAGAGTCCCCTTTCCACTCAGAAATTATTTCCTGTTTCTGCTTTCATGAAACAATCACTTTCATCAGCTTTTCAATGCTGATATCAACAAATGCTAACCACCCATTTATTAGACTGGTTTTTTTCTGCCTCTGTCTGTACTGCCCTTAAATTCTTCTCTGTTGAAAACAGGTAATATATTATGGACCTCACTTGTGGAACATCTGAGATTGGCAGATGAAAAATTAGAAAAATGGGAAAGGTATGGGTCAATAATACAACAGAAGATTTTTTTATTACCGTGTTTTTAATGGAATTACAGTAGGATTTTTATATGAGTCTCTGAAAGTCTATGATTTCAAACAACTCTGAACCTACAGATTTGTATTCTTGCCTTATACTTCCTTGGAGACAGTATGTATTACTAGAGCTCCTCGAATCTCTTGCCTCATCATGGGACACCTGCATGGAGTGGGGATTTGTTCAGTATCCCCCTCCTCACTGGAGTGGCAGCAGTACCAGCAGGGAAGCACCAGGCCTTTTCCCGTTCTCTGCCGGGCACAGCAGGCTATCCATCATGGCACCAAACCCTGCCAGTGAAGCTTTCCCTCAGCAGAGGGAGTTGTTTCTCAAGGTAATAAGAAACCATTATCTGATTGCATTTTTGTCAGGTATGTCCTATTTATTACCTTACCTGTAATCTAATTTGTAATGTATTTCCTTGATATTTTCTATACTTCCCCCCTATATTTTTTCATAACTTCCACTGAAAGTCTGACCTACAAAAAAGACAAGGTTTTTAATCCAGCTTTGAATGATAACACCCTCCAGGTGCCTTTATCTGGAAAAGCTCTCCTAGCACAGAGGGAGGTCTGCTAGGAAAAGCTCAGCACCCTCTGCAAACGTGTTGGAGGAACATTGAGTAACAGCAGCCAAGGTCGCTTTGTCCCAGGCCAGGAAAACACCAGTGGCTATTTTCTACTTGTGGCAAGATGATCTTTTTGGTCAGAAAGCCATTCCTGAGCCAAAGGAGATACATGAGAGGCAACAACCAGTCTGACCAGCAGCTGGGGTGGGGACAATGTAAGAAGACAACTACAAACCACGTGAAAACCACCACTGATGTGCCTCAGCTGCTGAAAGCTGCTCAGGTGTTCCACCTTAGCTGTTAGGAAAAAGCATAAGGCAACAGTTTGGGGAACAGAGCAGCCCTTGTAGGTCCTAACTAGGTTGAGCAGAGATGTCTCAGGGTGGCAGAGTGTGATGGTCCAACTACCCTGAATGTGGGGCTGAGGAACATTAATCAGCACAACAAGTGAACCATGGGAACAGGTTGCATTTTCAGGCTGGTATGGGCTTCCCATGTGGTATCAGGCTAGTGGCTCAGCAGGGCATGAGGGTTTTCTGCTCTCTTCCCACCTGGTTAATTCTGTTCCTGCCTGGCTGCTCTACTGCCAGTGCTGTAAAACAAAGTTCAGCCTAAGCCTGTCTGCTAGATCTGGATTTCCTCATTCTGGGAAAGGTGTTTCAAAGTCACACAGCTTTAAAACAAAGAAAGAGAAACATCCCTTCTTGTGGATGCTAATGAAATTTTTATCTGGGCATCTTTCTGTGAATGTTGGGCCTGAGAGGCATGGATTATGTTAGGGGAGAAGGGCTTATGGAGCTCTGGAAATAAATCAGAGGAGGACAGAGAATGAAGATCACAAATGATAAATTAGCAAGTGACAGAAAACAACTGCAGGAAATAATAAAACCAGGAGGAGTGTGTGGGAAATGCATAGGAGAGGTTGTTTACAACATGTGCATCGGACTTTCCAGCATTTGACATCTTATCTCCATTTCATTCCATATGTTACTTTATGCATGGTTTCCTGTTTTTATGGAGTTTGTTCTATAGTTTTTGTACTAACATGAATGGCTCACATCTGCTCCAATACTTAATTTATTCTCTAATGTCTTCTGCAAGGCTTTGCTCAGCTTGTGCAATACTTGTCAGTGGTAAGATCCAAAGAGCAGTGTCAGGTGAGCGGGGATAGCTGCATGAGGCAGCTCGTTTCTGAAGTCCTAGTCTGTTGTGGTGGTGGAGTTTTTTTCCCCTTAGCAAGGTCTGTAATTCCCACTTTGGCTGCCCTGTGTGGACAGGCCTGCTGTGCTGGGGCTGTGTATGGAGCCAGCAAGGAACATCCCATGGGACAAGGATGACAGCTGAGGGCCATTCCTGAAGGAGACCACGGCCTGGCGCCAAGCTGCTGCTGGCATACCAATAGCTGATGATTATGATTTTATTTTTTAAGTGTTCTTGACAGCTCCGGAGACTCACATCGTCTCTTCCAAATCCAGTAATTAAATTCCACCTACCTGAAATCCCCCTGCTGATTCAATTGGTTAAATTAATCTTCCCATCATGTCTGTGCCTCCTCTGTGTGTTGTTGAACAACACACAGAGGGTGGCCTCCCCTCGCCCCGGAGCCGGGCGACGACCGGGACGGGGACCCGGACCGACCTGGGCCAACTTTGCAGCGGCGCAGCCCAGCCCCGCGCATCCTTTCGCGTGGAAGTGGCTCGGACCCACTCACCGTGCGCGGGAGAGAGATGGGCGTCCCCGATTATACACACACATCCCCCCCTCCATATCTTCCCCCCCGCGGCTCCGTGTCTCCTCCCCGGGAGCTGCCTCCCGGACAGGGAGCGGACAGGGCAGCGGCTGCCCCGCGGCTCCCCCGGGGTACCAGCCCGCCGGTCTGCGTGCCGCACCTTTCCCCGGCGAGCGGCTCTGGCTCCAGCCCCCCTCCTCCCGGCGCCTCCTCCTCCTGTTCCTCCTCCCCTCCCCTCCCCTGCAGAGCATGCACAGCCCGGGACTCGCATCGTCGGCTTCGAGGCGGGCGGGCGAGACCCTCCTCCCCGACTAGCCCCGCTCCCGCTGCCCTCGGAGGCGCCCGCGGCTCCCCCTTGCCTCCTCCCTGTCCCCCCGCCGGACTTTTCCCTCCTCCGAGGATGAGGCGGCCGACGCGGCGGCTGGCGCTGTCTCTGATGGGGGTGCTCTGGCTCGCCGCCCTCCTCCTCTTCTTCTTCGGGGCGCGGAGGAAGTTGGAGGCGGCGGAGCCCGAGGGACACACGCCGGAGGTAAGAAAGGAAGGGGCGGCGGGGCCGGGGCTGCTCCGGCGGGACTTGGGCGCGACGCCGCCGCTGCCCGGGGAAGAAGTTCCCAGCGGTTTTCGGGATCCCATCGCGCTCCCCTTAAAGTTTGGTGCCGGCTCTGTGCCTGTGCGGCGTGGGGGGGCGGTCTGGACCTTTCCATACCCTCCTGGTCGTGCCCCCCCCCCCTCCTGCCCACGGTCTCGGATAGCGGCAGCCCCAGCCGCCCTCCCGCCCCGCTCAACCGGGGGCTGTCGGGGCTCCCCCGGCCGCGGGTGCCGCCGGCGGTGCCGACCCTCTGCCCCGCCGCCAACTTCGAGCATCCCTCGCTCCGGACCCTGGGGACGGGGGACACCGGCGCGCCCCAAGAAAACGAAACGCGTGGTTTGTTCACGGGTGGGAAACCGGCGACTCCTCTACCCTGTGGGTCATGCCGTGTTTCCGAGCTCTGCCCCAAAGACGAAGGGCTCGATCCTGTCCCCGGGCTGAAACGAGAGGGGAGCAGACGGCGAGCACTCAGGTGGTCCGTGGTTGGGGTACACGGGCTGGCCGAGTCCGGTTAAACCGCTGCGGCTTTTCGTGGCTGGTTGTGATGGAAGACTAGACACGGGCAGGATGCTGCCCTGTGAGTCCCAGCCTGGGTGGAAAGAGGGTGCGTTTGCAATCGCGCCTTTCTCTGTCATGTTTGAGTCCCCGGAGTGCACAGGAGTGACAGCACGGGAGAGATGCGAAGAGCATCTCGCTCGACACAGCGAGTGCATCAGAGGAGTTTCGCTGCCCAAACGCTGCGAAAAGCAGGGGACCTGCGAGCAGCTTCGGCTGAACGAGGTCTCTTGTCCTCTCCCAACGGCTGAGAGCTGCTGGGGCTTAGCCGAGGGTTAACTTTCCAAAGGACAAGGATTAAATGCTGCTCTTAGTTGTACTGTGTAAATCTTGAATTAGTTAATCTGAGTTAGAGCCCAGATCCTGAAAATACTCTTGAGATTAGGGTTACTGTGGCAGAGGAAGAGTGCGAGCCCTCAGCCCCCTTTTTGCACCAGTGACACCCAACAGCGTTCAGCCCGTGACTTGTGGCAGCTATAAATGTTCGCCACATCTTTGTAGAGTCTCCTGTATGTGTCTGTCACCTCTGCAACTGAATTAACGACCTGATTGGAAAAAAAAAAGTCAGAACTCATAAAGCTTACTTTGATTTTTCATCCTGAGGAATTATTGGTTTTCCATGTTTTTTAAATAAAAATGATTGAAGAGGGTTTTTTTCAGCCTTTCGGAAATCTTTCAATCCTAGCAGAGGGGAATGAATCTATGCAATTTCAGGCCCCAAAAATAAATAATAATATATAAATTTATTTATTTATTTAAGCGGGGGAAAGGCAATAAGTCACTGAAAGCAGAGCTAGAGGACAAGTGCTTTCTTAACTGTAACTAGGCTTTGGCATCAAGACCTCCCCTGTATGATGGGGGGCTCCTATATTCTCCTTGAAATGAACCTTGCTTCTTGGTTAGTACCAGCTGCAGCTGAATTGCTGCCATTTTGAAGCCCATTTGACTCTGCTCCCACTCAAAGCTCCCCCCACCTCAGGGTGCAGGTTGCTTATGCTTTTAGGGGCTGGTCTTGGCTCCTGCAGTAGGTGAACTTCTCCCATCAGACAGGATCAGGCCCTGAGTTTCGAAGCTCCAACTGCCAAGTTGCCGTAACTCCAGCAATTTGACTGATTAAATTGCCTCTCCTTCATTTCTTCTGAATTTTCCATCAAAACTCGCATCCCCTTGAGATCCATAGAGTGCAGATTCTTTTTTGTTTTTTAATGCATTGCATTTTTTGGCTTTGGAAACTGCTTTTGAGCAGTATGACTTGTAAGTTGCTTATGAGCATGGAGATGTGGTGTCACTCCAGTTAACACCTCTGAAAGGCTCCAGAGCTGACTTGGGTAGGAGAGACAGGGATGCTGCAGTCCAGAGAGGAGCCTGGTGGTGTGTCCCATTGCCCTGGCCAGCGGGACTGGCTGCCACAGATGAAAACTTGAGCAGTTAAGAGTTGTCCTCCCAAATTTGTAGAGAAACAAGAGGAAGTGGAAGTTGCTAACAGCAGTGCAAACATTGCCACAGAGCAAATCCCCATAAACTTCCCTGGCAGCGTTTTCCAGCGTGTTCCCCCCCCCCCCCCCCCACTGCCTTCTCTCTCAGTTGAGCTGTATTTCTGTGAACATATGCACACTATATATCATGCCTCATGTAGGTTTAACCTTTAGACCTTTCTTACTTAGGCTCCAACTGGTAATGCTGCCTCCTGCCCATGCCTGTCTCCTGGCAGGGCTCATGGCACACATCCAGTGCTGGGAGGCCGGAGTGCCCAAGCTCCTGGCTGGCTGTGGCATGTTGGTGGCTTGCCAAGGGCCAACAGAAGAGCTGCTGCCCTTGGCTGTGTGGGTGCCCATCCATCACTGTTATTTGTGGTTCTTTTCCCCCTCTTCCTTTATCCCAAATCCTGTGCAAGATCTAGGCCTCAGATTCCCAAAGGAAGGCTTGTGATGCTTTTCTTATAGCTGGAGAACCCAATGTTGGGGTAGGCAGAGTCTCCAAGGACCAGGACCTTGGTGTGAGGGTCTGATGCAGTTTTTGAGTCCTTACTGCATCAGAAGCACACTGCTGGCTTGTCATTTCGTGGTCGCAGTGGAGGCAGGCATTTGGGGCAGGTCTAACAGTGCTTTGGGAGCTTTCCCAAGCTGCTTGTGCCTGAAGAGGTAGGCACAGCCCTCTATTGTAATTAACTTGGCTTCACCTCCCCAGTTGTGGTTTGGTGGTTTTTTTTTTTTCTGTATTCCCCTGTAATCCATCCCTGTGGATCTCTTGCTGCTGCCTGGTGGCAGGCAGGCTTAGAGGGCTCCCCTTTTTGGCAGCCCTTGCTCCCCTCAATTCCTGTCACTTCCTTTCCCTCCTCCTTCTTCCTGCTGCCTGCAGCTGCTGGTGGTATGTGCCAGAGTGGTGGGAGCAGGTTGAGGCTGGATTTTAGGGTGTGGGACTCCCTCATGTCTGTGGAGTGTAGTAACCTTGCAGGACTGGTAGGATACGGAAGAGAATCACTCGCAGTGTTTGGGACCATGAAATTGTTCCTGGGTCAACTTCCCCAGTCCCTCCAGTGCTGTTTTTACTGCTGTCGCTTGAGGTTTGGGGATTGTTGGGGGTTTTTTTGCTTTTCCAAAGGGCAGATCAAGCCCTATTACTGCTGTAACTCTTGCCCTTTATAAAGTCCTGTGACTTGGCTGGGAAGAGGAGCCATAGGAGTGTGCCTGCCTCTGCCAAGGGACCATTACCCGCATGGCCCGGCCGGGTGCCTGGTTAGCAGCCATGGACTCAGCCTGCAGGGAAGCAGAGTCTGATGAATGAGAGTGTAAGGACATGAGGCTGGTTGGGGTCATGGATCAGCTGGGACTTGTTGATGCCTTCTGCCTTCCCTGCCTTTTGGCGGAGGATTTCGAAATACTTTTCAAGCTTTAATTAGTTCCAGCCTGTCTCCTTGTCCCAGCAGTTTTCCGGCTGGATAAACCAGGACCCAGAGAGGCTAATTGAACTTTGTATCCTTGTGGGTCTTATTGACTCCAGAGGAACTGGAATCGTTCAACCCTCTTGGAAAATCAGGCAGCCAGTGACCCCCCTGAAGTCACACAGGGAGGGGGTGGTGTGGCTTGGCATGTGCTCTGGTAATCCAGGCTACTGCCTGGCATCTCCCCTGCCTCCCTCTGGTAAGTCCCACTGCTCTGCTTTGGGAGGGGTGGGGGGGTGTGAGGGAACATGCAGGCTAATAACTTAATTACATTAAGGAATAATGAAGGGAACTGATACGAGGGATTAATTACAAGCGAAATCCCAAATTAATCGTGAGGAGTACGTGTAGCTGGCTCTGCAGCGATGTTTTGCTAGTGTGCTGCTCCTGTGCCCTGTGCCAGGCTGTGGCTGTGTGGCCCCCGGGGGATGCTAATAAGGGAGCAGGAGAGGAGTAGGTGGCTGACAACCCCTTGGTCATCTCATCTCCTCCAGCTCGTGAATCTGTATCAGACCACAGTGGGATGTTGACTGTGTAGCAGAGCCCTGCAGCAGGGAGGGGTTGGCAGGGAACTGGGCTCTCTTGCTCAGGGCCACCAGTGTGTGCAGGGGGGCCAGGCAGATAGTTTTTGTTGGGTTTGGGGTTTTTATTTTTCTTCATTCCCTCCTGCATGCTAGTTTGCTCCCTCTGATGGATAGCTAAAGCACAGCTGACAGCCTCTGGAGGGAAAGTGAGTCTGTCACGGGCTTGATTGCAAGAGAAAAGCTACGGAGGAAAAGTTTCCTTTATTAAAAAAAGTGACCTGTTATGCTTGACTTGTAGTAGTGTTTGCAATGCAGCAGCTCCTTTCTGATTGTGCTCAAGTGCAGCTGGGGGATGGCTCCTGGGAGATGATGAGAGGCTCAGCACCCTTGCTGCCTACTCCAAGTGCTCTGGGGTGCTCAGCACCCTGCAGGGTCAGACCTCAATGCAAAGGAACCCTTGCCAGCTTTGTGCTTGTGTGTCTTGCACCAGCCTGCATTTCCTTCTGCATTGTCACCGTCTAGAAAGCCTCAGCACCTGGAATTCAGTTGACAGTCTCTAGATATTAAATTCCTGTCAGTTTTATAGCAGCAGAGCCACTTAACAGATTAAAATAACTGTGTATCCTGCAGAAATTCAGATCTTGACGATTAAGGAATTGAAGTGGCAAAGCTGTTGGGAACAAGAAAGAAAAGGCAGTGTTAAGTACCTGGGAAGCTTGTGTTGACTGGGACTTGGGACTTGGGACTTGGCTGGGTGCATGGATAGGTCCAGGATGTGAGAGAAGGGGAAACTTCTGTCATGCTTTGCTGCTGAAATCCCACCCTGAAATCTCTAAGAGCAAACTGAGGCTTTCTAGGATGTGCAAAGCTTTGGTGATGCAGGAGGTGGGGTGGAATCCAGTTCCTCTCTCCTGCTTGTG